TATTCCTACCACTGTACAAACAAGCCCGTGTAGACCGGTATTACACGAAAACTAATGTGAAAACACGTAAATATCGTATTGGATTTTTTCACATCGTGTATCTACTGAGTGGCAAAGTAATTTCGAGCAAGCGCTGCCTTTTGTGAGCTTAAAAATTATTTAGGCTTTTTGGCGATCTGCCCATCGCGGACATTGGTGAACGGCGCGTATTTGTAATTTAAGTTACTTTAACGATACGTACAATTTTGGCTTCCAAATATGAATAGCAAATAGATAATAAATCTTAATGTCTTATTTTTTATAAAACTTTTCATTACTTTTTATAGACCGCGGTAAACACGAATGCTACAAAGAATCAGACACGCCTATTTATAAATAAATTGATAAATACATATCATCTTTTAAACCTTTAAATGTTGGTTTAATAGTTGACTTTTGTTAGTAGACGTCATATATTTTACAAATATAAATTACACCAGACATAAAAGTAAAAGTCTTAAGAGAAGTGCACTTACTGAAGAATTAGCCAAGTTAACAATTACAATGCGATAGCAAAATCAAAAAAATGATAAATTGACGTATTATGTAATTGTCAATCCAATACATCTCTTTTCGAACTTCTTTTGACTTGCCCACTTGTCTTTGACACAGCATAAAATGTACTCACGATTAAATTAAACACTTTTGACGGTTTAAAAAGGGAATTATCTTAATCAATTTATTTTCACTTACGATCTGACGTTTTGCTGAACTCTGCTCTGCAAGTTATACAGCAGTTGGAGTGTCAGACGCATCTAATAATTTGTCTCGTTTAGAAATATATTTTGCAAATTGTAAAAAGTTTTCACAGACATTTTTCAAAAGGCAATGTACGCACAATATCTATTGATAATGTCATCCTCTCGACCAACTCACTTCTCAATTTCGATAGACGAACAATATACTTAAACCGTCAAAAGTTCTCAAACCGTCAAAAATTGGATTCAATTGTAACCGCTTGCGTAAACCACAGACCATACTTATGTAATCATCAACAAAAGGCGAATTGTTTTAGCACTTAGTACAGATAACGGAAAAGGTCAAGTTAGACATGGTTCCGCACAAAAGCATATTTCTACAGAGACAGGCACTGTGCTAGAGGACTGTATTCAACATTTCATTCGTCACACACGTCTCGGGAAACTTCGAATTTCTCGAAGAAAATTCATGATGCAACATTTTCTTTTCAGAGGATAATTTATTTTAAAAACTTTGCTTTATTCAAAGATAAATAGTATTAAAATTGTAATAGCAAGATATTCTTCTTTATTATAATAACTTAGTCTTTATGACAACATTTGCTGAAATATTTAGATTTAGTCTATATACATATCAAAAGATCATTTATAGTATGTGATTAGATCAATATATATATGTGCATTATAATTGTGTAAGTCTACTATCTATGGATTGTTTGTACATAATAAGCGATTCGATTAGGCAGAGGTATTTAATCAATGAACTATTTGCGGTTATACTGAATTTAGTGGTGATTATTATAAAGCTATGTATACTACTTACTAGGTATGTGTATACTTAAGAGTTATACTAAATTGATCTAATCATAGAGTGAAATCCCCCTCCCCCCGTGAGGAATGAGCCAACATAGTTCTGCAACCGTTCCACTGATCGTTTTTTTTACAGGCAAGTAGTTGATTAAAGCTCTGTGCCCTGACCGACCGAAACAATCTAAATTTTGCCTGGGTTTCAAACCCAAGACCTCTCGCGCTATAGGCAATGCTAAGCTACACTTAACCATTTAGCTATAGACAAGGTCCTAGTCTGATCATAAAGCAGGATATTTTAAATTTAGAATGACAAGAAAAGTAGAAGAATTGATAATTATTCCAAAATATATATTTTTACACACATAAACCCGAGCAAATTGAAAAACAACATATAATTTGCATATTAAATTACATCAAAGTTTCTCTAAAATATATAAACATGTTTAATGCTGTGGTTTTGATGCTTCAGTGTATGTACATGACACACAATTTCGCAAAGAATTCCTTTGACGTACTCGCAGGGAAGTTTTAACAAGACGGATCATAGCATAGCACTTCTATTTTACTTTAGTTAAAGATAAACTTACTATTAAATGAAAAATTTTTGAGTTGACAGATTCGAAAAAACTGCTTACTTTTCGTATTTACAATCTCAATTTACACTTGTATTACAATGTTCGTTAATTAAACATTAGTGTTTACTACTTTTCCTTTACCCGTTTTAAGCCTCGCGTTAATCTCATTTTACGCTGTCCGCCACTACCTTTCTTGTTGAAAGGTCAGCGCGGTCGCCCTTATAAGATAGTTTTTGTAGAAACAAGGAACATATTATAAATACCTAGTTCAATCTATTGTTACTGCTGTTGCTCTAACCAATTGAGCTACCAAGTCCTACACGTCATCGTCGATTTTTTTCAACTTATTGAAACATGTACCTCTCTGGCAAGATAGATAAGTTTAATTCAATTTTTTTATTAACCATACAGATAAACAATACATAATTTCTATTGTTGTATTAGAGTATAGTAATAACTTCAAAACAAACTATAAAACCGCACTCTACCATAGAACTACACGTCATTTATGACTATACGAGGTCGCAGAAGCATAACTATTATTGCTGGAATCTCACCCTCTTCATTCATCATAACGACGATTTTATCACAGGTTTTGTTCTTATTTCTCCGAGAATTGAAACGGCTTCTACAATCGTCTCATAGTTGCCATTATGCTAATGCTGATAAACGGTTGTCAGAAGTTCTTTGAAACGGTCGCTGCCGGACGTATTTCAACAGACCGTGTGCAAAAATAATGTTTTCACAAGTAGATGCGTTATTCTACCACTTTGCATATAGCGTTGTTTTAAATGGAGAGGAATAAAATTCACTAGAATTAAAATAATTAATGAATAAAACTTATAGGATAGCTATATTTTTATTACTATTTTTAACCAATGTTTCGCCACGGTGTAGTTAATAGGAAATCTTTAATATTTAAATAAAACACTTTTACAATTTAAAACGCGATATATTAGTTTAATTTTATAGTAAAGTGAGTTTTATAGTGTTACCCTTATTATTATCATGTATTATTGTAAATCTCCATTTCAAGGTTGCCTGGAAGAAATCGCTTTTTAGCGATGAGACCGCCTTTTCTCGCTATATTTTGTTAATTTTGGTTAAGTTTATTTTGTAACATTGTGGTGAAAATATACAAATTACAGATGAAAAAGCTGTGAAGTTTAATCGCGTTTTAGTCTGTGGACTTCTGAATATCCAAAGTCAAAAACGGTCGAAACGCATTTTAATTAGATATTACATGGTTCGGGTATTCACATCTCACTCCCATCCAGCGAATGCCAAACTTGTCTATCCTAAAAAAAATATCGCCTACCCACAACTTGTTAATTTGTCACACAAGTTGTATAAATTTATTCCCTATTGTTAAATATATATGTAATACAAATTTGATCTTTATAGCAAGAAATCTCATTAAACAAGATACTTTCCCTATTGGTTTTTTTTCAGCGTATAAGGAAAATGCGGTTCACACTAAGCAAGACCCTTGTCACTAGATCTCGTAAGGTTCCCACATGAAAGCCTTCAACTAGTGTAGTGACAACCCACATCTCTTACAAGTGTAACACGGAGGCCGACAAAGTAGCGAAGGCTTAGCTAAAATCATAAAATATGTAGACCCCACCTGTTACACTTCCCCTCTGAATATTCGGTTGGGAGTAAATTTTCAGTTTTATTTTTCATGATTCTTCAATTAAAAAATCTATGAAAGGATATTGCATATTAGTTAATCTTTGGGCTGATCAAGTTTGGTTTTTCAATGTCATCCATGCCATGTGGAAGGTATTACTATTTGGTTAAATAATAATTTTGTATTTGATTTTATTCATTATTTTAAAGTGTTTATTTACAAATGTCACTATAAACATTCTATAATCTAGTTTCTCAATAATTTTAACTTATTACTTAATAGCAGCTAAAAATCTTGAAGCCCTTATACCTTCCTTGAAGGTCTCCCCTCTTTTGGAAACCACTATAAATTACATAACTTCAAAAATTAAAATTTCATTTGAACGTTGATAATTTAAGGATGTTTTTATAAAGGACATAGATACCTGTTTTACAACGTGGGCGATGGGAAGATGTTAGATTAAGCTTATGCCTGGTTCATTGACTAATGAGCAGATTACAAGACACGTGACTTCGCATATTAATTATTTTGTACTCTTAATAGTATCCCGAAATTATTACCCTTTTAGAAATGCAGTGGTGCATCTTTGCGACGAACGCATTAAATAAGTACGAAATAATTATTCACCGTGAAACTGGAAAACGTTAATGAGAAGGGGGATGGATGATTGAAAGATCTAGAGGCTTTCGCTACATTCAATTAAAATGAAGATAGCCAAAATTGTAGCTTTGGCGCTTTGTACAAAGCTATTTATGTAAAGTTTAAAAACTAGAAATACAGCTATTGTAACTGAGTTAATAGATTTAATTTTTTTTTTATTAAACTCATAATTTTAAAATATGCTTTGTAATTGGTTGTGTTTTTGGTAAGTTTTCAGGCCACATTAATATTGTTTTGTTTTGACGTTTGTCAATTAGATACGTAACTGAAATATATGTACTTTTTCTTCTTTATTCTCCTTGTTATAATCGACTATTCCGAAAACATCAAGGTATAAATAACTCATCTCTTTCGCGTCTATTTTACAAAACAAACAAAAAATACTTTATTGTCACCACAAGAAAATTACAAATGTAACGATATAATATCTAATTAAGATATTACAAAAAGGTAGGGGCCTTATCGATAAAAAGCGATTTCTTCCAGACATCCTTGAAGATTTACAATAATAATTGATGATAAGGGTAACACTTACTATAACAGAGACATGAATAGACAAGTAGTCTGGTTAATAGGATAAAATACCTCCTTACAGGTCGTAGGTGAATTGAAGATCGCCAAGGCATGTGCTGGCGATGACCCAACGCGCCTCGCGCGGCATGCCCTGATGTCATGGCATCCAGCCGCTCCGCCCTCCTTGCGTTGGCTACTCTCACAGCACTCGCTGGTAAGCATAAACAAATTCAAATTCGGAATTAGCCACTAGCTCGTTCTGTTACGTTGGTGTAATGCAATGTAGCAATGCACGGTTCGTGGGTTCGATCGCCACCAGGTACAACGTGTTTCTAATCAATTTATAGTTATTCTGAAACATGTTTGGAAATCTAGAAATATCGAAATTTCGTCCGGCTCGCGAACCATCGTTTACAGATGAAAAGACGTAGAGTTTAATAACGTCTCGATTTCAGTCTGTGGATTTTCCAATATCCAAAGCCAAATTAGGTCCACAGCGCAGTTTTTGTTAAGATGTTATCTGGCTGAGGTATTTCATCTTCCATTAAGGGAACTATACAATGATTGTCTCTCCTTCTCTTTATTAAATCCTTATGTAATTAAAGAACTAGCAATTTTTGGCAACGAGTACGAAGACATATTGTGTCTCCTATAAACTCATCGAAACAAAAAAAAACAAAAATTGTTGCTTTTATTACGATATTTATGTAGTTAAAAACCCTACTGTACATATTCCCACTGTCCACTGTACAGATTTCTGTTAGTTCACCATTATTAAAGATCGCTCCATCCGTTCTGTTGCCACGCTTAGCTGTTTCACTCACCATATAACGTTGTGGCCCTGTTTCTAGTGAGGAAATAAAAAAGTGACCGCACTAAAAGATGCAATATCCATTAACTTCATTTTGAACCGTAACATGGGTTTGCGTCGGAAATTGAAAGCTCGCTGGGGCCAATGCACTTCGTCCATCATGGCATTTTCTACGATCGCGTGACACTCAAATTAATTGTAACTTTTTTATACATTTAGTAAGGTTGTTTCGCTGTTCAGTGGCAGAGGGGTATAGGAGAACATATATACTCCTATCATCAATCAAAGATATAGCTTTTTCATTGGTTGATTTTGTAAAGAGTATCCAAAGCTAAAATAGGTAGACAGCGCTTAGATGCTATAGACTGCGAAATCTCAGCTACCATCAAGTTAACGCAATGTCTCTCTTCCTCTATCATTAAAAAAATAAGATGAACAGACTTCTGTTCCATGCTGGATCGATCAAATTTATTATGTTATTATCTATAATTGGAAATAATGTAAGTAAGAAGTAAGAGTTATAGACATTATTTTTGATACCTTTACTTATATCTCTGTTCATAATTATTTATGAAATACACTTACATTTACTAGTAACATTACAACTAGTAACATGTTTATTAGTAACTTGTGGCTCAGTTATTAAACACATCGCGTAAAGGTCTGGAGAAAAATAAAAGTTTCTGGGAAGTCCGATTCACTATTTATTTGCCAGTATTAACATACAAGTACGTTGTAGAACAATCCCAAATGATAATATAATATTCTATAGAGTTATACCATATTTAATGTCGTTGTACGATTCCGCAATGCTCTTTTTAAAACTGCACACAAAATGTTTTATGCTTTATATTAAGCTTTATTAAACGAAAAAATTTCATAATACTAATGAATGCTCAGACTACTGAAGCTAAGCAGATCCATTAAAAATTTTGCTGTGCTTTCATTCCCTGAAAAATAAACAATTTAACATCCTATTTCACTTCTAATGGTTAATTTAGTTAATTTTAATATTTCGGTAAAATGACAAGTTCTATTAAAAACAAAAATATTCGTTACTACACGACTACAATTGTATTATTTTAATAAATACAATTTTAGTCATGAAGGTACACATATGAACATCAGTATAGTCAAAATACTAAATAGAACACTCCCTTTTTTACTAACTGATCTAGATTAGGTAGGATTTTATTTTACTATTTTATGATAGGTTTTATTTTATCAACGACTTAAACTTATTCGTCGACGATGCTTGAACATTACTAGGGAGGTCCTGTTCCCTTTAATAACTATACAGCTATACAGAATAAACCTGCTACAGGAACTAGTCAAGTGGATAACCCATCCAACTACCAGATAATGAAGTGTACCTTACGTAAGAGTGTAGTTGTTTAAATTCAGTTTAAAACTAGTCGCATAAACATCTAATGAACGTTTCACCGCACGACGAAAATCGAGCGGAGTTAGACAGCAACAGTTAGGATTGCAATCGAAAACATTAACTCTATTATTATTCGAATAAAAACTCTTTTTGCGTGGCTTGACATCCTTGGCAAGCAACACTAAGCAAATAAAACTGAGAAGTATATTTTGGAACGGAGTTAGTTAACTTAAGGGAAGCATAAATAAGCTTTCTGGCTAAGCATGTTGTTCCTTTTTTCCTGCTTGTGTTTTGATTATTTAAGTAATAATGTTTTAGGAATCATTTTAGAATTTTAAAGTTTATGACACACAAGAGATTTGACCGTGCTGTCACTTCATTCATACATTCAAATCCAGCAATTGTAACTTTTTAAATTCTAGAATAATTTGCATACTCTCTCGCGCAAAACTTATGAAGATTTAACAACATATACAGAATATTTTTTCTAATAATAACATCTCTTGTTAAAATTTTCGCGAAATTTAATTGAATTATGAGTCAAAATAAATACATTTTGCCCATATATGTTATAAAACGAAGACAAAATGATAACATTGTAAGAGGGTAGGAGAATTTAGTAGATATAGATTATAATCTACTAAATTCTTCTACCCTCCAACTACGACTATCTAACGAAAATAAATGTTAGCAATTGTATAATGTATTGTAAGCGTGATAAAGCGATAAGACGTAGAAACAATACATTAATTTTAAACACTTTTCCCTCTAAATAATTCAGCTAGTATCCCGGGTTGAAAGTAATAGAACAAGTTGTGACACAGTAGAATTAATTGGCCCGTGAAATATAGGCAGTTAAAACAATTCCCAATGAATTAATTGGTAACATACATCTTCAACAACATACAAGTTGCATAGGAATAATAAGCACCCAATCGGAACGAATACAATGACACTCGTTTTATTTGATTTATGTTATAATCACTTTTACTAGAAGTATTGTTTTTATATCATCATCGGTTCAAAACGAGAAAACCATTTTTGGACTTTGTACTAGTAAAAAAAATAAAAAAAAAACAAAAAATCTTTATTGTTTCCATATACATGGTGCAGGATCGAAAGTCCCTAGTCTCCACACTAGGATAAGCCTGTGTCGTGGGTGACTAGTCTCTTCCAGGTGATAGGTTACAATAAATAAAAACATCTAAGCTAACTTATACTACTTACAATTAGTGTCTATTTAGGTGAATATTTGCATTATGTGTGTATGAAGTGAGAGAGTGTTACGTATGTTGATAAAATATATGTATGTAACAGAATAAGTGTGATAGATGGAAAATGTAAGTTTACAATGCTAACGAAATAGACTTATTATAGTTAGTTACATTACAATGCTAACGGAATAAACTTATTCAAGTCAAAGTTTCGCTAGCGCCATCTGTTTTATCGTTGTCTATGATATTAATTGTACTTCCGTGACCACGCTTATTACAAAGCATCCGAAACGGCCTGATCTTAATAAAAACTACTCTATGAAAATATTAATCGCTTAAACCTTTAAGTGTTTTACTAAATATGTTCTCGCGTACGGCGTGAAATATTATGCTTGAGGTTTTATATTACCATTTAGATTATCTCGGTATCGATTAGAATCTCGTTGAAATCGAAGAATGCAGCTTTATTGAACCGTGTAGACAGTTCAGTTTCTTCATAGCTTTAATACTAGTTATTCTACAGAAGACGACTCAATTGCTACGCGTTGTTAATTTAAAACCCCGTTTGAGAGCATCAAACGACAACGTTGAATCGACTTCATTCTGTATTCTTACTTAATTTGTTGTTTAAATTTTGGTACCTATTAGTATGGAAATGTGTGATAGCTACTATTATCTACTAGTAAATCTATATCCCGACTACATATTAACTCCACAACGCGTAAGTATGTACATTTAAAGCAGAATTTCATTTGTTCTTTGGATGTAGAGAAATTCACAGATTGACGGTTAAGCGTCACACCTTTTTATCTATTCACGGTGGTTCTTGGCCTGAGAGGAATTTTATTATCCCTACCACTACATTTAATATCCAGATTTCCAGACGAAGTCTAACATGTTTTAGAAGTATTAAAAATATGTTGAACCATTTACGGTTAGAACGCATGACCCGTTGATATTACGCATTTTACCCATTACTCATTACCCACACCCATACATAGCTACTATTCGATCAACGAGCCACAATTGTCTTATCAAACATACATCAATTTATGTTAAAGAATTTCAGGGTGGTTTCGCGCAATCGCATCTAAGTTTTCCTTTTAAAACGAAACTTAAACTATAAAGTTATCTGCCAGCTTTCTCGCTTCAATACTTTTCTGGCTATTGAGTATCTATTTAAACCTAATATTCGAAACAAAGTAAAGCGTATATACTCGGTACGATCATCTAAAGTAGAAACTTTAGATAGAAATCTTCTTATAGTTCTTTAAAGTTGATTGACTCCTTGAAAAAATTGAATCTTGGTTTCAAGTTATTTTGATAACGATCACTAGTAGCTCACAACGAAGGTGCATTACAGATATTTGTGAAGCGACCGTTCGAATTCCAATGTGTATCGGAGATTAGATACATTCTACAAACATTTTCACCAGCTTTGCTTTTCTCATTTGAAATACAGGCTACAAGCATATAAAGGCTCTAACACGATATGTGCTACGCAGGGACATTTACTTTATAGAGTTTGCTTTTTTATTATAGTTTGTTGCTCTGAGAGTACTAGTTTCAAATTGGAAATTATATTTATGTTGGTTAGAGCATTTATTGAGGAAGGCTAATGAAAAATCACGCCTCGACCAATAGAAGCGAAGAAACATTGGGAAGTGAGGAACAAACAGGAAAAATCCTTGAGAGTTCCCGTTGCGTGCGCTGCAAAAATGGTTCAAACTACTCAAAAAATATGTTTAAAACAATGATTTAAAAAATTAAATGATCTAAAAAAGTGTGTGTGAAAGTTTATGTCTATCTTTTAAGATTTACTTGCAAAACAACGGTACGCACACGATGTCGTGAGTAGGTAACAATATTGCTAGTAATTTATAAAGATGAGGTATGCAAAAACAAATTTGGACGCCCAAAATAACTACCCGACGCGGACGAAGTCGCTGGCACAGCTAGTAAAAATTTAAGGCATTGCATTGACTTACTTATCTAATGAATTGCAAAGAGGCAAGAAGCGGTTTTTGCCTCTACAATGTTAGATTTTTGTTTTTGAATTTAGAATCTCTGAGCTCGTAAGTTTTGGGCGGTGTAATATTTGCTTAAAGTTTTCAAGGGCTGTGTCTATACAAATGTAAGTTGGTACGGTCTTACCGCAGGGTGGTGTGTTTGCGCGCCGCAGGGCAGCGTGCAGGGCGGCGCGCAGTTGCCGGGCGTATCGCACTCTACTGCGCCGCCCGCGGGTGTCGGCGGAGTCCGGAGGTACGTCTCACACCTCACTCTACCGTCACACATGCCCGCTGCACGAGGGTTTCTACCTTCAGCTATAAGTGTGGACTTACTATAGATTACTCTAATCGTTTTCGGTACTATTCCATATGTACAATAAAAACATTTATTACAGCAAAGCAGGTAATAGGAAAAAGTACTGGCTTAGATTATGTGTTGATAATTTAAATAGTTATCAACTAACACTTACAATAAATTAAAATTTGAAATTAAAATATATATTATAATTATTTAAGAAAACGTAATTTTAATTATTTTTCTGATTAAGAAAGCTTAAATAAACAGTACTTAATTCGAATGAGTAGCACGCTTTATTTCAATTATAGATAGGTAGTGTCAATAGAAAAAAAATATGTAAACGAAAATATTAAGTATAAATGTCATTTATTGATAAAAACGACAAACGACTGCAATTCTTCCTATTTCGGGAGTTCTTTTGTTTAAGATTATATCATACAAAATGTTTTTTGAACATTAAAACGTCAATTGAATGGTAGAATACCTCATGCAATGGTGCCATGAATTCCTGTATCACAAACCTTATTCCCGACTATTAGTAATTGGAGAATGCGTTCCCATAGCACATGACGTCAGGGAATTCGCTTGATTACAGCTGTCAGAAGTTATTACCATGATGTACCAAGTTACTAATGAATACAGACGGAATGCGTCCCGCAATTATCGCGATATCAACACTTTCATCGGAATTTCACACTGAAATTTACAATTTTAGTATTACACGATGGAAACTTGAAGTTCCACCTTAATAGAAATTTTAATAGCGCTCCGGTACACTCTAAAGATTTTATAAGTTATTTAAGCCCCTCTCCATTAAAATTTCATCGTCAAGTCTTATAAAATTTCAAGATTGGACCTTGAAGGTGAATGAATCACCTTCAAGGTCCAATCTTGAAATTCTGTCCATAAAAACTGCCACCTTTATACATAGTCACATATTGTCGATGCATGAAGGTCAGTTGTTTCTCTATACACATTGTGACTTTGTCCACAAAGGCTTTGTATCGGAACTTTATAGGGGTCAACTAGAACCCACAATAAAATGTCTCTACAGAATATTATCCGCTACATTGCATGCGTATTCGGTTTTATTGGAATAGCGCTACATCGTAAATAAAATACCTTGGTCAAAAAATAATTGATTAATATTATTAAAATTTTATATACCACCTCCATAGCTAAAGCGTTTAACACATTGCTTACCATTGGATTAAATCAAAGAGCATCTGGGTTTTAATATCGGGCACAACATTCTGAGCAAATTCTTGCTTACATAAACAAAAAACATTAGAGAAAAAGACACAGAAAACCCCCATGCTCCAAATAAGGAAAATGGCATTTTACATTTAAGAAATTATAAAAAAAGGATAACAAATATATCAACAGATAGCAGTAAAATCCATTAAATCCATATTTTACAGCTTTTTGTGGATCCATTAAAAATGGATTAACATTCCGTCGTAACAGTTAAACTCGAATCAGATCTAGTCAAACACAGATTCGAAGCCTCTCAATCTATAGTTTCACTTCCAACTTAGGTACATAAATCTATCGATCTGCACTATCCAATTAATTCCATGTTAGCTATCTCTCCTACGACCTACGAACCAAAGGACTAGTTGATACTGCTAGTCATATTTATCGCACTTCAAAGGGGACACAGTATATAAAAGCTGACCTATATCAAAAGCATTTTCGTAACTTGGCCATCAACTCTGATTAGATTTACATCTCGTAACTGCGAACGCATTCTCTAAAATCACAGTAGATTAAAAAATGTTATAACACATACCTTAAACGAAATCCATAAATAATGTTTTATGTGAGTAGAAATAAATTATCATAACTAAGTAGAAATATATCTCTGAGCTTATCAGTTCACAGATTAAACCCGTCAATTAGTGACGTAAAGACACAACACCTTTATATTAGAACCTAAGTGTAATAATGTAATGTTGTTGTGTTATTTTGTCGTTGAATATATTGTGTGAGTCATGTATTATTTAATGTTGTCTACCGCAACAAAACGGCCTCGACGAGATAATGTAAGTAATTTCTTATTTAGAAACGTAAACACATTTTGTAATAATTTAATATAAACGTATGTTAAGTGTATCGAACCAATGTTATCGAGTAGGCAGGTAGCAAAACTGCATGAGGACAATCTTGCACGACTCTCGTAGAATTGGTATGAGATCTTAGGAAGGTCCAGATATTTGCATATTCTCAACATTTCCTGTAACTAAATGCAGTTGTGTAATTAGTGTTACATTGTATACAATTTGAAAGTAAACCCAGGATTAACACATATAGGTTCGGAATGTGCGAAATTGAATTGTTTACGAGACGAAAGAAACTTTCAATATTACAATATAACAAAAAATATATGGCTCCCTTGTGAATGCTACTTTTAAAAGTTTGTATCCTTTGAAGCATTGTTTGACGACTCGACGAACTGGCTTTAGTTCTCTTCACCGATACCCACTGTAGTTAACTTGCATTAGCATGATTCACGTTAAGATAGATAGCTAAATCAGTAAATTGAGTACCCTGCACGATCTGCTAGTGTTGGAATATCCTAAAGACGGAATGCTAACAATTCAATTTCGCTTTTCAGCTACTGTATGTATTAGGACCGATTCCAACGGTCTGCTAGCTTCGGCATTAAAGATTTTGGCTTCGCTCCAGAGCCTTCAGCTATTTATTGCCTCATTATGGGGTGACGGTATCAGTCTTTCCTGCCACTTACTTGCAGATGAATTGACGATAATTACCTAATAAAGAGGAAAAGATTTATTTGATACGCATACGTAATACTATCAATTGCAAGAGAGAAACACGGTAGAGTTTTTAAGTTTTATTTGGAGGACAATTAGGTGTTTGCACATGAACTTATCAAGGACTTAAGCATGCCTGAGCTGAACTTCAGATCACTTGTGTATGAACAGAACTAGGGTAATTTGGTTTTTATTTACTTTGCGAGCAGATTCAGTCAGTATTCCAGAGGTCGCGGGTATCGAGACTGGCGGACGAGAGGCGACCCCACTCTCATCAATTCATTGTGGAGGAGCAGACAGCCACTGGGCATCCGGAAACAACTCGGTAATGCTCCTAAGATAATATGCCAATATTTATGATGGATTGTTGCTCGTGGAATCTTCCGGTATTCAAATGTTTTATGAATTCTATTTAGACGGAAATAATAAATCTTTTTATTAATGGTTGTGTTAGGTTACTGATATTCTTAAAAAAATACAAACAAGAACGCAAAATAACATAAATAGTATATATATCTATAATTTAAATCTGACTCTAACTCGTACGTCATAAAGGGAAAATATACATTGATGTTAAATAATTTGGAGTTTCAACTTCAACAGTTTGTAGTTATGATAGATATATTTGTAGTTATATTTACTGCCTAAAGTAATTGTAAGAGTATATGAAGTCTTTGTTATACCTTTAAAAGAGACATTTGTATTGTCCCATGCGTAGCGGGAACCGAAATACAACTATATTCTAAATTATTATAACGTCTTATTGTTGCAGTTAATTAATACACATAAACTATTATTCACTTTATAAAAATGTTACTGTAATTACGCTGCAACTGCAATTATATTTTATATACAACAAGGGAAGGTTTAATGATAACGTAACCGTACTGAAAGCTCTTTTTATTTAAAGTTAAATAGTAGAAAATTAATGTTAGCTCATGAGAAAAACTACGGGCGGGCTCTTCACAACTTTTACGTAAAACTGTATAACAAAACTATTTGTTTAATTTTACGTAGAAACGTACACGTATTTCTCCGGGGCCTTTGGTAATTTATCTTTCAGTGAAAATATTCAAATGCAGTAAAATACATATATGTACCGCAACGTTAATTTTGAAGATTTTAAATGAACAAATTCATACTACTGGAAATTTTACAGGAAACGCGGAGGTATACATCGTGCTAGCATTACTCATCGGCGTGGTCACTGTTGTGGTGGGGTGCTGGCTATCGGACAACTGCTGGTCACCGGAGCCCGAAGACATCCTGGCGGGCGGGTGACCCGTGGCGGCGGGCGCGTGCACGCACGTGTAGCGCCCGCCCTCCGCAGCCGAGCGGGAGAGCCCGTCAGGCGCTGGCTCGCTCTCCCCAGTGCTGCCGCCGCCGGCCCCGCCACCCGCGCGCGCCCCGGCCTTCCTCCACGCGGCGCGGCATCTCTGCAGCGGCGCCTGTCTTCACCTTCCGTGTGACAGACGACACCAACCGCCCCCCTTCTGACGGGACTCTTTGCACCGCTCCTGTCGCATCCACGAGAAAGCTAACGGGAACCACATCCCATTCGTGGCAAACGGAGCGTGCGATAACTGATATTCTAAACGGATTACGAAGAATTTAAAATTAGTGATTAACTGTGAGTGAAATGTCATTTGAGGTGCATTGCCGAACCGGTGAACAACGAGAGCTTTGTTATATAATAGTGTATTTGTGACTGTGGTGGAACTAGCTTCGAAGCGAGATTTCGTATTGAAACTTAGTCTCTGAAGAATTCATTGTATCTCACGTCGTAGGTCACGCTTCTAGCGGTCGCTCTGATTTTATTATTAGGAGTGGTGCGGCTACGATTTTCCATGTACCACTTTACTGTTGTTTCTAAAAGTATGTGCCTTGAATCGCTTTCCTCTATTTAACGTTTAGTATAGAGAGTGTTTTGAGCCCTTTAAAAGAAGCCTCTTCTTTCTGTCGTATTGAACGATCCCGTATTATAAGTGCTATACACATCAAAACCGTGCCTTTACCGTTCTATAGACTTTGTGAGGGACGTAATTTACAATAGTTCATAAATAACCCTTTTTGTTAACTTGCTTTTCTTACCTTGCTTTTGTCATACTACTTTATGTCAATATCAGTTTACATATTTAACTATAGAGGAAAGTGCTAGGACCAGTCTTTAAAAATTGTCAATTGGTTGTACTAAAATTTGATTAATAGATTTACGCAACATTAATGAACATTACATACAACGATACATTTTGATGGACTCTGTCAAAGTTTAGAGCGCTGACGATTTTGATACTATTGAACATTAGTTACATATATCGAGAGGTATTTGGTGAGTTGACCGTCATAATTACCTACAATAGGTTCGATAATATTATGTCATAGGAATATGATGCGTTTGCCCGCTGCAAAAATCCAACGATCGTTACGGTAGTGTTTTCTTAACAAAAGACGCAATACTTATTATTCCACTTAGCAGGGACTGTCATATCTTGTTAAAGAATACAGCTCGTCATTGTGTACAGTACCTCGTTGAATGAAACCTGCAGTTTGTAGTTAAGCACACTTGACTTAAGCATAGCGCATTGTTGAAATAGCATACTTTTTTAATATTTGTAATAGTACTACAATTTTTATTGTACAATACCAAAATAATTGGGAGAGATGCAAAATGACCCGATGAAGTTGCAGTTTTTCGTGTTCTTGTTCTTTTCGTGAATTTATTCGATTTTTTTAAGAACACTACTTTTGTGTAACAATACAAACTTTTTGACCGTTTAAAGCCGTTTAAACATTAGGTACTTGAAAATAATATGCAGCATAAGGCCTAACAATCATTTAAACCATTTTTCTTGACCACAAAGATAAACTTTTAATTTATTTTTATTATTTTATCGAAAGCTAGGATGCTCGAAGTTTAATGAACTATCTATGACAAGTTAAAGCGGGATAATTTTAAAATAAATAATAACTTTGTATACAGCCGTCAACACTTAGGATTGTACAATTTTTAATCGAGAAAACAATAGGTTACCCAGAGAATTTTGTATGTAGCAGTATTAATGCCAAGTACATTTTTGCAAATAATAACGATTAATAGTATTAGTTGTGATGCCAAAATAACTATAGTGTCTTAGATTAAATGTCGAAAATAAAAATGAAACACAATGCAATGGTAGAATTAGTTCTCTCAACTAAAAAGGGAATACGGAATTCTTATTTTTTGCTACTCTTCATTAGAAAAGGCAATTTTGTAAGAATCTTTCTTTAAAAATAATAGTATGTAGTGACTTTTTATATTTAGCTTAGATAAGGCCTGTTGCCAATTATTAATACATTTCAATTTCACTCTCATTAAAAAGCCTGTAGGTATATTAATAGAATTGCACTGAAACGTGAACTTTTTCACTTTAATTTCGTTTCGTTTTAAGTCTTCGTCAGTTGCTATAAAAAAAAACTGAACGACAACTCTAAAAAGTCTTAGCTATTCCTGTTTAATTATGTGTTGTGTGTTCTGTAAATATTCATTCTTTATCTTCGTACATTATGAACTTAAAAGTGGATCTTTGGAAAAATTATTAAAAAATAATATCTTTTTGTCATGTTGTAGATACACCGACTTGTGCGATAGTGCTGATATAGAGTAAGCACATTTTTCGTCATTAGCCCGGTCGAATTAGTAGAAATAAGGTAACTTTGATTCTCGTAAACTTAAATTTGACATGAATATTGATTATACAAACAACCCGCCGTACCGTTTTATTATTTTTTAATTAAAGAGATCTTTAATTTATATAACGCCATCATATGCAAGAACATGTGAATATATTAAGGTTTTTAAACAACAATCTGTCAATAATTCGTCGTATATCTGCGTCTCGTGTTTGCTAGCACATTAACACTCGTTTAATTAGAAATCGGCTACATTATAAAAATACTTGGGTATGCTGATAATCTTTGTAAACATATTGCGTTATTTTCTAAGATTTAAAGACCGCGAATGTCTATTTTGACCGGGCTGTAATTGTGTCACATCTAATATTCGCAATAGATATTAAGTGAACCGACTGAATAGTCAACATTTTTAAGGGACTAAATTAAGTTTAGAATGTAGAGTGTGAACGGCCCAGTTTAATTATTCCTAATAAAACATCCCGTGCCTGTAATTTTTGTGTATAAATATTTGAAGAATAGATTGTTAATAAACTGAGTTGTAATTAAATTGTTATGTGTGCCTGGTGGAAAGAAATATTATATACTGTCTGTAGTTTACGCCAGTACACATATAAATAAAACACTTAAATCTTTTAAAACGCGATATACATATATTAGCTAAACTTATTCGAGAACAATTACCGGTACGGTCTCCCCGTGACCATGACTGCTAAGCATCTGAAACGTCGGGCCGTAGTTAAAAATAAATTTCAAATAAGCTTAACATATATCGCGTTTTAAACCGTTAAAGTGTTTTATTTCGAAGAAATATTATTTCAGGCACTGAAAACGACGAACGAGATGTTACTGAATAAGTAAACGCTAGCTAACGAACCCAATTAAACAGTTTATCGTTTCATTAAGTCCTATTTGTGATAACGCGTGTTTCCTTAAGAAACTGTAAATAAAAATATATTGTACGTGTGTGTGGATTTGCGTAATTTTGGATACTTTTTGAAGTCGAATGAGAAAATTAAGCTTTATGAACCTGTCTATATGTAAATGTTTGATTGTGAATTGTATTCGTATCGTCTGCATGTTTCATCGGTTCAAAGTTACGCAAACATGTGTGTACACGTGGCCGAAGTGCGTCAGTTATTTTGTTAAAACGAGCGATTCGCTTGGCCCATTATAGGAATTGAGAATCAGAAAGCTCAACGTTCTTAGCAATTATAACTCAATATGATAACATTATGTGTAATTATTTGTCACGAATAATTAATAAATGTATTACATTTGAACAGCCTTTATCAATTTACCGAAACGTTCATAAGTTGTAATCAGTATAAGAAAATGTATTCAACGTTGACCCGACGTTTTGGAGCGCAGCCATGGTCAATATTTTTAAGGCAATACTTTTATAAGATAGCTTACCTACTCCAAATATCCATAGCCAAGGTCAACAGGGCATCGTCTTTGATGTTCTAAAGCTGGGTTATTACACATTCCATTAAGTAAACCTGGTCTGCCCTCCTATTAAGAAAAAAACTATTATCTTTTATGGTGAGAAATTCCATATCTCTTTTATGGAACTTGGGAACAGACACGTTCGTCTGTTTCTCTGACGTTATTAACAGATAAATTAATCATCTGTGGGCTGCGTGTTTGTTTGCGTGCTCGAAGAATCTATCACAGAACCTCTCGCTGTATGCAACTAGTTAACCATTGGGTCACGGAAACGGTCTTATACTTAAACGTCCTCATTGATTAAAACTACCTTAAGTAGTGGTAATAGTTTCTGTCTCAAATAATTTAAATATATATCGCAATTAATGTTCTGTGGCATAAAATTAAAATCCCTTTAGTCCGGAATTAGTAACGCTCGGTCGTTTCGAGTTTATAGAGGTACGGAACCCGTTTCCCACGAGTAACATCAATTTTATATTGGACACTTCACATTTTTCAGCTATATCGTATGATATTCGCATAGGCTTTTGGATTTCCATGATTAATTGAATTGATATACGCCGAAATGCTTTCATACGTTCATAAATATGAATGGTTAGATCGCTATTAGAGCGGCAAAATAGTTTTTTGTCGGCCTCGTTGATTGTTTCAATGTAGGGCTAATTATTAAAAATGGGTCACAAGTTTGATTCCCGCTGGCTTGTCGTGCTTGTCTCTTGTGTCAAAAACTTGGACATTAATTGATAGTGGAAAAATCTAAATTAGTTTAGGTTACTAATGTTTTCTTTATTTGTATGAGTATCCATAGGCCGACAGCACATTTTATTCGACGTTATAAAGCCTTTACACCTTCAATTAAGTTAACTTTGTATTCTGTCCTAAAAAATATTCGCGAAAGTTACTCTTATGTGCAATGTTATCTTCTGTGGTATTGTATCTTCTTAGCAGTATATAACAACAGATTGGCAAGGATTATTATGGACGAGCTCGAACGCTGAGATTATCTCTGAAACAATTATTAGCCGGCTGGTTCTAACCGCAAACACTGATTTGATTGGACCATTTATCAAGGATATATCTAAGTAAGTTATATAACTGTCTTATTAAAATACAGATTATAGACACATTTTAATGCACACAAAGGCTTAAACTCGTAGTTTCATCTGTATGAAGAATGTCTGGAAAAATCTATTTTCCAAACATTCTTAAATACTATTTCATAGCTTGTGGCGTTTATGGGGGTTTTATACTTTTTCGACATGCAAAAAATTAATGAGCGCCAACCTAGCAAACACCAGTTTTATAAAGGAGGTTTTTAACAGTAGATCCGAGGTATACCTTTGTCCCCAGT